ACCATGTGGTTGTCAGATTAAAAATGGCCAATACCAGTCCATTTCAGCTCACTAATGCCTAAGATATCGATGTTTATGCGTTCCATTTCATTTTTGACAATTTCTAATTTTCCTAGATTCATACTTCATACATTCCATGTTCTGATTATTAATGGATGTTTACAGCTGTGTTCTTCATTCTGACTTGTGCTCCATTAGCAAATGAAAGTTCTGAATGCTTTACTCCCACAGGCTTTACTCCATTTGCGTCATCATGGTTAACTCTACTTTGAGGAGGCAGCTCATCCCCCATCGCATTTTGAGTGCCTTCTAACCTGAGGGACTCATTTTCTGGCACTATATCTGACAGTGTTTTCTGCTATTCATAAGGTTTTCAGTGACTAAATATTCAGAAGTAGTTCATCACTCCTTCTTCCTAGTCTGTCTTCGTCTAATTGCTATGGTCAGAACCAATTGGTCAGAACCAATTCCACAGCACACCACCACCAATCCCCCATGATGAGATCTAATATAACGTAATCACTGTCCCATGATGTGATCTCATGTGATTAGCCCTAATCTGATGTAACTATCCTATGTGTTATAAACCCTAATTCCCAGGATATTAATGAGGCCAGATGCTATTTTCACAATTAGGTTGTATCTTGAGCCAATCTCTTTTAAGATATAAAAAATGTTAAACAGGCATGCAGAGCTCAGAGGGACTTACTACGTCCAAGAAGGAAGAGCCAGGAATGGAGTAGTGCCTTTGAATCTGGGGTTTCCACACTGCAAATCTACTAAACTCAAAAAAAGACGGTGCCAAGACACCTGGAGATCTCCAAAGAATGCTGGGTCTACAGATGCTGAAAGAGACAAAGACCTTTCTGCAGCCTCCTAAAGTGTGAGAGGATACTTTTCTTTGCCTCCATTTGAGTCATTTCTGCTCTAGAAGCCCAAGGTAACCAAGGCAGGTTGGGCAGAGGACTTGATGACAGTAAGACTACCTCAGAAACTTAGACTAGGCTTTTTAGTACGTAGAAAAGACACTGGTCTAAGACCCAAAGCTGCCTGGAACCCTGTAGATTTGGGAGTTCTTCAATGGCATTTATCTATCTATCGGCCCCAGGTTGTCAGAGATCTGACCCACCCTCTACATCTGTGGTACCCTTTGCTCCTGAAAATGACCCTCTAGCATTCGGAGATGATGGAGAACAAAGAGAGATTTCCACTACATTAGAAAGTCCGCACAGTGGTATCATGTTGGTCTTGATCGACAACACCTCCCACAGAATCTAGGGTGAAGAAGGATCTCAGTAAACGTTTGCTGGAGGGATGAATGAGCAGAGAAAGAGGGATGGTTAGAATGGATGAATGGGTGGATGCATGCCTAAGATTCAATGACCAGAAGGCCTGAGTAGGGAGAGAGCCGCCAGGGGCGGAGTACCTGCGTCCCCTTTGTCCCCCTTTGCTCCATCTCGTCCATCTCTTCCAGGCAAACCATTGTGCCCGGGATTCCCAGGGATGCCGGAATGCCCTTGTCTGCACACGTCCTGTGTATCCACATTCCCTGTGCAGGCTCCTACGGTAAGCAGGATCCACCAGAATCTCATGGCTCGAATGACAGAGTGTGAACTGAAAAAGCGAAACACAAAACAGAAGCGATGAGTTTCCATCTCTGGGGCCACGCACACTCTTCTGCTCCTTACGCTTATCCTATGGCATCAAGATTTTTTTCAGATTAAGAAGTCAAAAGGAGGTAAATCAGGATTTTCCATCGAAGCTGTTGAGGATTTGCGCTTGAGAAAATCTCTCTGCTAAAGCTGTGGCTGACCTCCTCAAAACACTCTCGTAATAAGCAGATGGGATCGTTCTTTGGCCCTCCAAAAAGTCAAAAGTCAAAAATGTTTTGAGCATCCCGAAAACACTCTTGCCATGGCCTTTGCTCTTGACTGGACCACTTTAGCTTTGGCTGGACCACGTCCACCTCTTGGTAGCCATTGCTCAAAGTGTTCTTCTCTTCAGGATTGTACTGATAAAGTCACGTGTCATCTCCTTTTACAATTCTTCCCCAAAATGCTGCAGGATCTTGATTCTATTTATTTAAAATTTCCATTAAAACTCTGCTCTGGTCTGCAGCTGATCTGGATGCCACAATCTGGGCATCCACTGAGCAGAAAGTATGCTCAACTTTCTCAGTCAGAGTTGTATAAGCTGACCCGGTGGAGACGTTTACAGCATTGGTGATTGTTTCTGCTGCTAACCATTGGTCCTCTTCAGTCAGGGCGCAAACGAGATGAATTATTTCCTCCCTAATTGATGTGGATGGTCTGCTGCTGTGGACTTCATCTTCAACATCTTCTTTTTCCTTCTTAAATGTGTTACCCATTTGTAAACTGCTGGTTTCTTTGGGGCATTGTCCCTATAAATATTTCATCAAGCATCAGTAATTTCACCGTTCGTTCTCTCAAGCTGCACCATAGATTTGATGCTTGTTCTAGCTTCGATTTTATCAGACTTCATGATGTGTTAACAGTGACTCTTTCAAACTGATGTCTTATTCTTAGGGTCTCAGACTAGATCCTGCTCAGGCATGTTATGACAAGTTAATATGAGTTTATTTTGGGGCGAAAATACTAGAAATGCATGATTTTTTTTCTCCCCATAATACATATTTTCCATGAACGTTGTGAAAATCCCTTGTACAAAGCCCAAAGGGCAGCATTTTGCCCAAGGGCTTGTCGTAATTTTCTATCAAAATATAAAATTTCTTTCTACACTCAACTTCCTTTTGATCTAAGACAATCTCAAAGTAAAGTTATGCCTAATCTTACCTTAAGGCTGGGATCTCTGCTAAGATGGTGGACTAGGCAAAACAAGCTACCTAGACCAGACCCTCTGTGATAAAGACGTTGCTGTGTGCCATCAAGTCAGTTCTGAGGTGTTCAAAGTTGTTCAAACCAATCTGTGGTTCAGTGAATTATCCTGCAGTGCCACACCAGGACTCCATAATGAAGACGTTAAATGCCACTGAGTCAGTTCTGACTCATAGTGACCCAGTATAGGGCTTCCAAGGAGTGGCTGGTGGGTTTGACTCACCAACCTTGGGATCCAAACTTACCTTACAATCCTGTGCTTATCCTACAGTGCCATATCAGGGCTCTCTGATAAAGTTGTTGTTGTTGTTAAGTGCTGTCGAATTAGTTCCAACTCATAGCAAGCCTGTATAGGGTTTCCCAGAAGTGACTGGTGAATTTGAACCACCAACCTAGCAGTTCAGACTGACCTTGCGATCTAGTGCATTGTCCTGAAGCGCCACACCAGGACTCCATAATAAAGATGCGAGGCGGACAGATATGGATGATAATCCTAGAAGCCGAAGCTTTAGAGGACAGGATAGAAAAATGGACTGAATACTGACTGGGAGGAGAACCTGACCAGGGGCCGTGAGAGAGCAGACAGACCACTGCATGCTCAGCTGGCCTAATGTAGCACTGCCATCTTTCAAGCAGCATTTGACCAAGACAGCAGGCCGACAACACCAACACATACCACTAGTCGATGACCAGAAAGATGGGCTCCTCCCTTGTTCCTCTTCTGATGACCAGAAGTGTGGCCAGCCCCTACCCTCACCACCACATTCCCCACTCTCCCTGCACAGCCCAAGCTCTGCCTGACGTAGGAGCTGCACCCTTGTGCAACTGGAGTTGGGTGAACCTGCCCCACATCTGGAGGTGCCCAAATTCTGCCTCATCACACCAGGAGAACATGCAGTGCTGGGCCCCAGCCACCCTTGAGAGGCCAAGAGCCTTCTATCACCAGCTGCCCTCTGAGCTCAAACGAGTTCCTTCCAGGAATAGGCACCTTGCCCTCAGCCACTTTCTGAGCCAGTACAAACTACTTCCGGGTCAAGTACTCTGACCCCAGATAACATCTAGAATGCCAGGGGCTCCACCTAGGACGTACTGACCCACCCACTCACCTCTCTTCCCTCACCCCGTGTTGATTCACACCAGATACCTTAGACCCACCATTTTCTCCTGAATTCCCCCTGCCCCAGTTTTCTTATCCTCCCTCCTTTTTGTTCCCTCCCCCTTTTTTGATACTTTCTTTCTCTCTTATAAAAGGAGGTTGTTGTTGTTGTTGTTAAGTGCTGTTGAGTTGGTTCCGACTCATAGCAACCCTGTGTAGGGTTTCCGAGGCTGTAAATCTTTACAGGAGCAGGAAACCTCATCTTTCTCCTGCAGAACCGCTGATACTTTCAAACTGCTGACCTTTTCAAACTGCTGACCTTTTCAAACTGCTGACCTTTTCAAACTGCTGACCCTTTTCAAACTGCTGAGCCCAACTCGTAACTATTATGCTACCAAAGCTGGTAGTGTTGGAAAAAAAAAAATGGGGAAAAAAATAAGAATAAAATTGGGGCAGGGGCAGGTCATTGTTGTTAAGTGCCCCTGAGTTGGTTCCAATTCATGGCAACCCTGTATAGGGTTTCTGAGGAGCAGCTGGTGGGTTTGAACTGCCAACCTGGTGGTTCAAACTGACCTTGTGGCACTGCAGGATAATGCATTGGACCGCACAGTTGGAGATTCAAAACCACCAGAAGCTCCTCAGAAACCCTAGACAGGGTCATTATGAGTCGGAACCAACTTGAGGGCACTAACAACAACCTGCCCCAGTTTTGTTGTTTCCCCCCCACTCTTCCCCCCCTTTTTTATGCTTTCTTTCTTCTTTTATTTCTCCTGTTTCTCATCTCTTTTTCCCTCCCCTTCTCCTTTCTTATTTCCTCTTAGCTTTTTCATTACTTTCTTTTTCTTTTCTTTTCCCCACTCCCTTGTTTTGCTGATTGTATTTTTTCTTTTTCCTCTCTTTTGTTTTTTCTCTTCCCTTGTTTTTTATGATCCCTCACTTTTTTATTAGTTATTAAATTATTTTTTCTTGTTGCTTCCCTGCGTTTCCCCGCTTGTTTATTTTTTTCTTTGCTATTTTCTTGTTTTGCTGTTGTATTTGCTTTTTTCTCTTGTTTTTACCATTGCTGTTGATAATACCTAGATATGCGTCTTTTGAATTCTTTCTCGGGTAGCTTCCATGACGTTTCTTCCTCAGAAAGGTCTTGTGGCTCCGTGTTTTGGTAACTTGTTTGAGCCACTCTGTCTTGTTTCTTTGTGTGACCAGAAATTGTCGTTTGTCTCTGAGACTTTGTGGTATTGCTGTATTTGTATTTAGTTGTTTGGTGGGTGTGACAGAGAAAGTGAGTGTATACACAGTGCTCTGTTCACTACTCAGGTAGCACAGTGGAGTGTGGATTTGGCTGGGGCTGGCTGCTGATTATTGAAGACCAGATAGGTGAGCAGGTTGTTGCCCTCACTTAGTAGGTGTGGCTGAGTTTGGGAACCTGATCTCTGTCTCCTTCAGGTTGGATAAGAAAGAAACAATAACAAGGGCACACACACACAAATAAATTGGAAAAAAAAAACCAACAAGAGAAAGAAATAGAGACAATGTTCTACATCTAAGACTGGGGTCTTAAAAGCTTGTGAGCACACATATAAACTACAGGCATTGGTCTCTCCCCATCCAGAGGAAAGAAGAGTGATGGAAACTGAAGACACATGGAAATCATTAGTCCAGGGAACTAACGGACCATACGTCCATCAATTGCCACAATCCTAAAACCAGAAGAACTAGATGGTGCCCAGCAACCATAACCTACCAACTTCTCTGACAAGGATCACATTAAAGGGTCCTGGATAGAGTGGGAGAAAAATGTAGAACAAAACTCAAAATCATACAAACAAACCAACAGCTTACTGGTCAGATAGAGGCTAGTGGACCTCCTGAGACTGCGACCCTTAGTGAACCTTCAGGCCTAGAAATGAATTCATGGCCAAAGCTCAAGTTTCAACCAAACAACAGATAAATCTATAAGGGGAACAAAAACAAAAACTAGTGAGGTGCACACATCTTAGGACAATCAACCACTCAAGATCAAAAGGGCAAAGTTCAGAAGGATTAGGAAAAAAGGAGGAATGGAAACAGGAAACCCAGGGAGGAAGTGAGAGGAGGGAGGTTCCATGTGGGGACTGCAGTCAGTGAGATGAAACAAAATGGGTGTGAATTGTTGAGTGGAAAACTGATCCGCTCTGTAAACCTTCACCCAATTCACAATAAACAGTTTTTTTGTTTTCTTAATGGCAGTTTGGGAATCCTCAAGGGACTGAAATGGTCCAAGATCAGGGCTGTCGGGTTGGATGCGGTAATGTTTCTAAATAAAAATTTCCTACGACAGCCTTTGCTGTGCTTGAAGAATGGGCAGGTGCATTGTCGTGATAGGAAAACAAAGAAGAAATCCTCAGTGCAACTTTCCCAATCTTTTTCTCTCCAGTGTAATTTTTCATTTTCTTAAAACTTGTTCCTAATAATCTCCATGGTTATCCTGTGTCCTTCAAGAAAATCTATCAAGATGACCCATTTGGAATCCCAAGAAACAGCCACCAACCATTACCTTCTGAGCTGACCGTTCTGCCTTTAACTGGCCAAGCAGATCCCCTTGGAAGCCACTGTTTTTACTGGACCTGTTTTTTTTTTAAAGGCACCCTAGTGAGGAGCACTG